TTTTGGTTGTTGAAGTAGTAGTAGTAGTAGTTGTCGATGTAGTGGTAGTAGTTGTGGTTGTAGTAGTAATAGTAGTAGTAGTTGTTGTTGTTGTAGTGGTTGTATTTGTAGTAGTTGTGATTGTAGTAGTAGTAGTTGTTGTAGTATTAGTGGTAGTTGTGTTTGAAGTAGTAGTTGTTGTAGTAGTAATAGTAGTAGTTGTTGTTGTGTAGTTATAGTTGTAGTAGTTTTAGTAGTTGTAGTTGTTGTGTTTGTAGAAGTTGTTGTTGTTGTTGTTGTTGTTGTTGTTGTTGTTGTTGTTGTTGTTGTTGTTGTTGTTGTTGTTGTTGTTTTGGTAGTACTATTTGTAGTAGTTGTGGTTGTAGTAGTAGTAGTTGTTGTTGTGGTAGTAGTTGTATTTGTAGTAGTTGTGGTTGTAGTTGTTGTTGTGGTAGTAGTAGTTGTATTTGTAGTTGTAGTTGTTGTTGTAGTAGTAGTTGTATTTGTAGTAGTAGTTGTTGCTGTTGTTGTTGTTGTTGTGGTAGTACTATTTGTAGTAGTTGTGGTTGTTGTAGTAGTAGTTGTTGTTGTTGTGGTAGTAGTTGTATTTGTAGTAGTTGTAGTTGTTGTGGTAGTAGTAGTTGTATCTGTAGTAGTAGTTGTAGTAGTAGTAGTAGTAGTAGTTGTTGTGATAGTAGTTGTATGTGTAGTAGTTGTGGTTGTAGTAGTAATACTTGTAGTAGAAGTAGTAGTAGTTGTCGTTGTTGTGGTAGAAGTTGTAGTTGTAGTAGTTGCATTTGTAGTAGTTGTGGTTGTAGTAGTAGTACTAGATGTAGTAGTATTTGTTGTTGTTGTTGTTGTATGTTTATGTGACTTATGGTATTTTTTCTAGCATAAAATATTTAATAAACATAAACACTAAATTAATTAATTTCAAGAGAAACAAATAAAATGTAATTAGGTACCAGCTATTAATTTGCACTATTGGAGAATTAGTTATTACTATTACACATTACTATTACATAATTTGTCAAGTATCATATTAATAACTTCTGTGTAATTTTGACAAAATAAAAGATGTTGTTTTCTTCTTAAGGTGAAAAATCAAATCTTGATATAAAAGATTTTGTTTTTTCATTCTGTCATTCAGTCATTCAGTCATTCATTCAGTCATGTATACATTTGTTTGTTAATTTATTTATGGATGTGGCTGTTGTATGTCAGAATACAACTTTTTTATTAGTATTTGTAATTGTTAATATTAATTAGTTTTATTTAATTAGTTTTATTTTTAATTGTTCATTTGATGTAGTTTCAAGGACACCTAATCTGATAAAAATCTCACTTTGGCAATTAAAAAAATAAAAATTCATCAGATCAATAACTTTTCCTCCCTTTAGGTAAACCATTGAACGCACTTAACAGGACACACATGCAGAGTTTACTGACAGCTTAGATCCACTGGTGTGTGGAACTTCTGTATTCACTCTCTTTAAAGCGCCTATGACTAATAACGTCACAGTCCATGCAAGAAAAACACGAGGAATGAAGCGTACCGTAGGTGGAAATGCACCGCAGCGTTGGGCCTACGTGTTTCACTGTGTGTTTCTTGAGCCCAGAGGACAAAGAGCTCCTTTATGGCACCTGCTGGTTTTCCTTCAGGGTGAGGTATGTGTGATGGAGTTTCTCGCTCTTCTGCAGGTCCTGTGGTCTGGCGTGGGTTTTGGACACAGTCAGTCTGACAGAAGGCCGTACACTTCCTCCAGGACACATTTGCCTTTTTTAATGCCACGCTCTGTAAATTTAGACGCTAACATTGGTGTAGAAATCTTTATAATGTGTTAATTTGTTATATATTTTAAATCCATTCAGCCAATCTCCAGGTCTGTTGGGAGCTTTTTTAGCTTAGCTTAGCATAGATCATTGACTTTGATTAGACCATTAGCATCTCACAGAAAAATTACCAAAATGTTTTAATTTATATTCTTATTTAACCTCTTCTTTGTTTACATAATGTACTAAGACCAACGGAAATTGAAAAGTTTTTATTTTTTAGGCCGATATAGTTAGGAACTATACTCTTATTCTGGCAATATAATCTAAACAAATGTACATCAATATAACCAACATGACCACGCTATGGGACAAGGAGCATTCTTTGGAACCGTGGGTTTTGGACACAGTCAGTCTGACAGAAGGCCGTACACATCCTCCAAGGCATATTCGCCTTTGCAATCCCACGCTCTGTAAATTTAGATGTAACATTGGTGTAGCAATGACTTACTCTTCATATTGTGTTAATTTGTTATATATTTTGGATCCATTCAACCGATCTCCAGGTCTGGCGGAAGCACTTTTAGCTTAACTTAGCATAAACCATTGAATCGCAATAGACCATTTGCATCTCGCTAAAAAATTACCGAAATGTTTTGATAATTTACCTATTTAATCTCTTCTGTGTTTACATATTGTACTGAAACCAACGGAAAATTAGATGTTTCTATTTTGTGGACGGATATGATTAAGAACTATACTCTTATTTTTTTCAAATAAATATTGAATAGCAAAAAAATCACACTTGAAGATTGCTCATTTATATCATATTGTATTTTTTACCTTAACTTGTGCTTGTCTTTATTGTTGGACAGTTGAGTGTTAAATAAATATCAGCACTATTGCGGCTGAGTGCCCCACCAGTGCTGATATACAGCCATAGCACTCTGCTACTTGTGTGATATTGCTCATCTAGTTTATTTATTTATGTTAACGTGACATGAAATGCCATCCGTCTACAGAGATATCTCACCAGACTGCTGTTGTGTTTGCGATAAGGAGGGACAAGGCTGAATCCAGCTTCTTTTTCGCAGCTTCTTATTGACTCTATCCGGTCCACCTTAAAAAACCACGAGGCTTCCGTTTTTTCAGCTTTTTATTCACGCTTAAGAGAACACACTGAGCAAGGGCTTATTATGAGGTTCTGGCGCCGTCTTGTGGATAGATAATAGCCCCTGTCACACATACAGACCTTTCCGGAAAATTGGCGGCAATTTTCCGGAAAGGTCTGTATGTGTGAACAGGTCCTTTTTGAAAATACCGGTAAATTCGTTCTGGCTATTTTCTGGAAAGAGAAGTTGTAACATTACCGGCAATTTGCCGGAATGTTGCGCTGTGTGAATGCAGAAGGAAGATTCCCGTAATAAGCGCATGCACGTCTAGAACGTGCTGACGTGAGACGTCTGCTTTAGCCAATCACAACAGTCAGACGCATTTACGTCCGCTCGGTTTGTGAGGATAAAAGCCTTTGAATATTTTTCCAGACACATTTAGCTGCTAGAGGTTAATTTCCGTAACGTCCTCGCCTGTGTGAACAGCGCTTTTTTGAATATACCGGTAAAGTCGTTCCGGAAATTTTCCAGATATTTACCGGTATCACTGTGTGAAAGGGGCTAATGTCAACCGTCTTTGGCCGCCGACGAGCTCTCAGAAATTGAAAATATTTTAAAATAGGCACTATTCTTACAAATAAACTGCTTAGTTGCAATCTAAACAACTACATTCTTGACTAAAAAAAGCCTCAAAAGTACATTTTGTTGTCTAACAACAGTAATATTTGACAAACTTTAGTGTCTCTGCTTGTTGCTTGCTTTATGTGGGCGGAGTAATACACAGTGAAGGGTGAAGAGGCCTTTGTGTGATGTTACTGGCAAAATATTGTGTGGCTATCAGCCAATCATATTCAAGAACCAGACAGAACTGTTGTATAAAACTGTACACTGTATGCATTTTAACAATATTGACATCTGTATTATTTTTGGTTAAAATCATATTGGCCAAAAAAAAAAAAAGAAAAAATTCCTATTGGTGCATTTCCCTATTTTATAACAGTATAACTTTGACCTTCTGAGATAAAAGAACAATGTATTCTGATATTATAGCTCCTCTCTCAATACAGTCTTAGTAAAGCGTGCCTTTTATTAAAACAAAAACATAATTCCGCAAAAACATAATTCTGAAAATGATAATAACATTAACATAATTATAAATAAATACAAACCTAAAAATGTGTCTGAATGAGATTCATATTACATTAGGTATTGGTAAACTAATGTTTCTCATAAATTAAATTCTTTATTATAAATGTTTGATGTCCAATGGTGGCGGTTGATGTAAAAGCAAGAAAATAGATCATCATTATTCAACTTTAGTAATTATAAACTTTTTTTTCCTCATCATTTTATAATTATATCAATGTAGCTTTGACCTTCTGAGATAAACAAACAAAAGTTTTTAATTGTAAAGCTCGTCTTTCACTACTGTCTTAGTAAAGAGCCTTTCTTAGTAAAGCCTTTTATAAAAACAGTCCAGTTATTTAGGAGGCCATTTCTTCTGATACACCCTGGAGGGTAAAATGCCTTTGTTAAAGGGCACAATGGTGATTTGATTGTTTGCCCCTGGTCAAGATCAAACTAGAGACCTTCTGATTACCAAGCCTGACCTTGACCTAAACCAAACCACCACGATATTGACGCTGCCATATTCTGCGAATTGTATTAAGACAGAATCCATGTTGTTGCATGAGAGACGTTGCATCTCTGCTGGAGTTATTGAATTAGCTTTGATGTTTGTGGGTTAGGTATACAGTTGAAGTCAGAAATATTAGCTCCCCTTGTATATTTTATTTGCCAATTTCTGTCAACTAGGCAGGTTAGGGTAATTAGGCAAGTTATTGTATAATGATGGTGAAAAGAATTGCTTAAGGGAGCTAATAATTTTGACCTTAAAATGGATTTTAAAAAATGAAAAACTGCTTTTATTCTAGTCGAAAAAAAAACACATAAGACTTTCTCCAGAAGAAAAAATATTATCAGACATACTGTGAAAATATCCTTGCTCTGTTGAGCATAATTTGGGAAATATTACTAAGTAAAATCACGAAGGGCTAATAATTTCGACTTCAACTGTGTATACAGTTGACTGTAATATTGACAGATTGTTTTTTTTTTCTTTTCTTCTCTTCCCAGCAGTGGCCGCTTTGAGATACTCGGCGGGGGGAGTCTGCGGATCTTCAATCTCACAGAGGAGGATGCCGGGGTGTACAACTGTCTCGCAGAAAACACCAATGGGTCCATTGAGGCCCAGGCTGAGCTCACGCTGAAGGGTGAGATTAAACCTTAATGCTAAAACCCTAGTCGATTGTTGATTGTCGCGTCACACTGTAAAGCTTTTTCCTCTAGTGCTGTTCACAGGAAAGGGTCTGCATGGCGAACCGGAAAATTGTATATTTGTTTTTTCTTAATAGTTATCCTAAAAATTTGTCATGCACAGATAATCCTTGCACACCGGGTTTGATGCTTATTAATTAATCCACTGTGGAAACAATCACAAAACAATACAGTATGAGGTCTTCAAGCAGTGCGGAGGATTCTTTTCTTTAAAAAGATTGAGAGAATATTCATTCATTCATTCATTTTCTTTTCGGCTTAGTCCCTTTATTAATCTGGGGATGCCACAGCGGAATGAACCGCCAATTTATCCAGCACGTTTTTACACAGCGGATCCCCTTCCAGCTGCAACCCATCTCTGGGATACATCCACACACATACACACACACTCATACACTATGGACAATTTAGCCTACCTAATTCACCTGTACTGCATGTCTTTGGACTATGGGGGAAACCCGAGCACCTGGAGGGAACCCATGCACGCAGGGACCTTCTTGCTGTGAGGCGACAGCACTACCTACTGCGCCACTGCATCACCCTTGGCAGAATATTGTGTTTTATTATTATTATTATTATTATTATTATTATGATGGCTTGTTTCCATTTAGCGTTTCAGTAAAGTACTATCCGATACACATTTATTTCTAGTTAAATTGTCAAAAGTACAGAATATCGAATTGTACCGTATCACTTTAAAAGACGCTTTCCTTAGGGTACCGAACTGTACCATACTGCTTAGTGGAAATGAGGCATTCGCATGAAAATAAAGGAGAGCTCAGATTCTGATAATAATTTTGGGATTTTGATTTTGAGCTCATTTTAATAATGAAGCCACAATCATATTCCACAATCTGTCGTTATATTACACACTTTGGGCTCTATTTTGACAGTCCATGCGCAGATAGCAAAACGCAGGGCGCAAACGCTTTCAGGGCGTGTCAGAACGCATTTTTGCTAATTTAAGGATGGGAAAATCCGCTTTGCGCCGTGGCGCATGGTCTAAAAGGGTTGAGTTTATTTTCTTAATGAGTTATAGGTGTGTTTTGAGAATAAACCAATTTAGAGTCTCATCTCCCATTACGTTTAAGAGCCAGCTGCGTCGTGCCATAAGCGCATTTGCTAATAACACGACGTAAAGTAAGTTCACTTTCGCTTTTGCTCTCGTGGATAGGGAAACCTTACTGCACAGACAACAATTAGCCTATAAATAATTAATTTTGTTTGTTAAGCGAAAAGATTTGTTTCAAAACTATTTCTAAATTCAGTTCTAATTTCCAGCAAACGAATAAATGATTAATAATAACAAAGTGTGCTCAAAATACTGAGTTATTTCCAAATACACCTGCTATGCCCCATATGGTCTAAAACCTGACAGGTGGACAAATCTAAGCTTGTTTTTAATAAAACAAATATAAATATGGGTATAATAAATAATACTGCTAATAATAATAACATTATACAAAAGCAAATTGAATGAACTGAAAAAGCCTCCCGAGATGAAGAAAGTATGAAAGCAGTGGTTTTTAAATTCATGTAGGCTAGAAATTAATATGTTTTGTAATATTGTAATCATTTATATTTATATCCTGTATATATCCTTATTATATATATCCTTAATATATCTTTTTCATATGTAAAGATATTTGCGTATTGCTCTGCATCTTGTTTGTAGTGGTTAAGCCAGGCACACTTTGCGCCAGACAATAGGCGGACTTTGTTCTGGTCCAAAGAACAGACTATTTACAGTTTCTCAAAATAGCAATGCGCCAAAACACGCCTGCTTTTTTAGACCAGAACGCCTATGGGCGCACATATAAGCGCAAATGCATTTGCTATTTAAATGGTGTGGCGCAACACCTCAAAATGACCCTTGCGCCGAGCTGAAAGTAGCAAAAGACTTTTGCGCCGCGCCTTGCGCCACATTGCGCCGGGTGTATGATAGGGCCCTATGTCATAAAGAGCACTGGATTTCGGCTTTTTTTCTCTTGTATGATTGCTCTGAAATGTCAATACATCTTGGTCCCACTTCATATTAGGTGGCCTTAACTAATAAATACTTTCACCAAAGTTAATCATTTGTTACAACATACTGTACGTTTTGTGTGAATACGTTTTAACATTGTACTTATGATTGATTATATCGATAATTACATGTTTAATTACACTGTTGACCATCCTTTACTCCTTAACCCAGGGGTTTTCAAACTTTCAGGACACACGCTTCCACCAAGTTTGCCCAATTTCACTTGCACCCCCCCAGGCAAAATTATAATGCATGCGCAAACATCATTCACATGTTACTTGCTGCATTTAAAGTGCGCAGAATTATTCACAATGAAGCATATAACTTACCTGATTCAGTGTGATGGCTGAGCCTTTTTTGAGGACAACATGCTAATCTTTGGTCGGATTCCTGACGCGACTAACCGTACATCATCTTCCACTGTCAATAAGCATGAGCCATAGCATACTTGCTTTTGATGTACACACACACAGAGAATGCTGCTTCGCAAAGTCAAGTTCGCAGAGCCCTGAAGGTGTGGTTGAGTCGAACATGGAGTATGTTTACATGGGCAACAATACTTTAATACGATTTTAATACGATTAAGACAATACCCTGATTAAAAGTCTACCATGTAAACAGCGATTTTTGATTACCTTAATGCGACTAAAGTCATAATTGAACTAAACAGAAAAGGAATTAATACATGGAGTATGCATATATTAGTGGCATTATTGAAGTAAACACCCCAATCAAACTATTACCATCATTAAGGACTTTTCGCACATTACGAAATGCGGAAGTTTTTTCTTTCCATTCGACATGCGTTATCAATAAAAACAACACTTTTCCGCCAGTCCTTCATATTCGCATCAAATTCCCCAGTTTGTCACGGGGGGCATAAATGTTCATGAGTGAACGTGAAACTGCCGAACTGCAGTTAAAGTCGAGAAATTGAAGATGAAGCACCCAAAATGACATGAGACTCGTGAATTCATGCAGGAAACGTGAATAGCCTGATGACGTAACTTTCAAAAAGCACTTCACGTAATTATATTGTTGTCTTATTCAGATTAAGGCAAATAACTATTACTGATGTAATGTAGTCAGTGGTCTTCGAAGTGTAAAGGCTCCTACTCACCAGGGCGGTTTTAGTTTTACGAGACGTTTTTCAGTGTTCAAACCCAAGCGCTTTCACTGGCGTCAAGCAGAAGAGTATGCTAAGTCACTCGTTAGATGGCGCTGCACAACTTTAAGCTTACATCCGCTTTTAACACAGAAGAAGAGGAGGAGGGGAAGTTCACACGCTTGTTGTTAAACTTATTGGTGACTCGAACAAGCATGGATGGTTTAAGCAGCAGCTCCAGCTTTAGCGATGAAGAAATGATTATTGTTCAAAGAGCAATAAGCAGCTCCACGTTCATATCGCGTCTGGGCATCTTCTTTAATGTGCGCTTGCATTGACAGTTTTGCGCTTGAGCACCTCCAAGTGCTGTTTTTACCGTAACTTCAGCAGCTTCGTGCACGTGAACAAAAGTGCCGATCTGATTGGTGGAGCAGGTTTTGACGCCGCGTGAGGCGTTTTTTTTAAAAATGAGGCTTTTGCGCCTGCCGTTCTGCGTGTTGGTGTGCACAATCACATAGACGCCCTTTATTTAGTTACGAAGCGTTAAACATCGATGGAAAACGCCAGCAAAAAACGTCTCTGTGTGCACGGGCGTTTAGATCCAGATGGGCGTCCTGCTGATTTGATTCAGAAGGGCACTTTTTTGTCAGACAGCTCACCGGTGTGGCCTTTATTCACCGTCATTCATTTTAAAAAGCATCCGCTTGATTTATTTGTATATATTTTACTAGAATGCATTTACTCTACAGGTGCCTGTTAGCTGTGATGCTAACATTAATCATAATATTCCTTCTAGTGAACGCATAAAAATCGTCATCATAATTTACTCGAGTGCATGCCTCAATGTCTCGTGCCCACCCTTAATAGGTGCTGGCGCCCCACAGTTTGAAAACCCCTGCCTTAACCCACCCTCAAACCTACCCATACCCCCAAACCTGTTCCCAACTCTACCCATATCCCTCCTCAAGAGCATCAGAATTGTTCTGCAATACATTATGTACACACTAAGTTCTTTGTATTTATCGTTTGATGCAAGCACATAGTAGTTAAGACCACCTAATATAAATTCGGACCCACATCTCAAAATGCCTGCTACCAATATGACAACATCAACCAATAGAAATCTGTGTATGAACGTTTTGCGTGAATGTGACTGACGAATTTAGATTAAAATCCCAGACGTTTTCTCTGACATTTCATTCAGTATTTCAATTTCACCATGTTTCAGACATGTTTACAGTACAGTGTTCTGCGTAATTGCTCATGCTACAGCGTTCGGGATTTACACTAGAGCGCGTGAGGTGTGATTGTGCGATGATGAAAGGGACGTGAGATGGTTCAGACAGGTGTGAAATCGCATTGAATCTGGACTGCGGATTTCATGCAGATATGTGGTGTGTAATGAGCTTTGGCCATCTGTCTGTCTGCCGAGAATTGATCCTGCACTGTGACGAGATGAAAAGATGAGAGAAACTAGGGGGGACGGACCCAAAACAGTCCCTTGTGGGTGGCAGAGGTATTGTGTGGGAGCGATGGTGCAGTCAAAGCCAAGAGCTCACACAAGAGGTGCAATGCCAAAGTCAAAGCCAATCCAAGCCACTGTCAAACACGCTCTTTACTGCTAATATTGGCTGTTGGCCGATCATTGTGCATTGTTTCAACACAAGTTGGGTTTTAGCGTTTAGGATTTTGTCTGAATGTAAGGATAAAAGCTGTTTACACACCAATACGATGTGTTTTGGTTGATTGGATTACATTTAGACACGTTCATATGTAGAACTGGTATTTAAATGTCTTTCTTTCAA